TGGGCAGAGCAAAATGGTTTTCAACGCTAGATTTAAAGGCAGGCTTTCATCAAATACCCCTCGAAGAAGATTCTCGGGACATTACAACTTTTAGCACAGATACTGGAACATACAGATTCACAAGGTTGCCATTTGGTCTAAAAGTAAGCCCTAACAGCTTTCAAAGAATGATGAGTATTGCATTTGCGGGCATCACACCTGAAAAAGCATTTTTATATATGGACGATATTATTGTCATAGGGTGTTCCAAAAATCACCACTTACAAAATCTTAAAAGTGTTTTCGAAGTGTGCAGAAAATATAGTTTAAAACTAAATCCCGAAAAATGCACATTTTTCCAACAACAAGTTTCATATCTAGGACACAAAATTACAAATAAAGGAATTTTACCAGACGATGCAAAGTATGAAATCATAAAGAAATACCCTAAACCGACGGATGCTGATGGAGTGAAACGTTTCATTGCGTTTTGCAACTATTACCGAAGGTTTATTCCTCAGTTTGCGGAAATATCTAAGCCATTAAATAATTTAACAAGAAAAAATGCTAAGTTCGAGTGGTGTAACAAATGTCAAAATTCTTTTGATAAATTGAAAACAGCACTTATAGATCCACAAATACTGCAATACCCAGACTTCAGTAAGCAATTTATTTTAACTACAGACGCGTCAAAAGAGGCTTGTGGGGCAGTTCTATCACAAAATTTTGAAGGCCAGGACTTACCTATTGCCTACGCGTCACGAGGGTTTACAAAGGGCGAATCAAATAAAGCAACAATAGAAAAAGAATTAGCGGCGATTCATTGGGCTATTAATTATTTTAGACCGTATTTATATGGAAATAGGTTTTTGGTGAAATCAGATCACAAACCTCTTGTATATTTATTTTCCATGAAAAATCCGTCATCAAAATTAACACGAATGCGCCTTGATCTGGAAGAATATGATTTCGAAGTGGAATATATCAAAGGCAAAGATAATGTAGGTGCAGATGCTTTGTCAAGAATTAACATAGAGGAATTGAAGGATATTTCAAGCGAGTCTGCACATATCTTAGCCGTCACAAGGTCCATGATTAAAAATCAAGTTACTACAGATAAACCAAAAAGAGAAGAAACCGCATTAATTGTCCCAAAAGTTTATGAAATATTAGATAATTGCGATTTACTAAAAATTCCAATTTTGACATTTGAAATTAAGACTAATTATCTTAGGATAATGGTAGGAATAAAAAGTCAATTCAGCGCTGAAAAAAAGATATTGATCACTAACGGCAAATTTCCTTTAGAGGAAATACTGTCTAAGCTTGAATGTATGGCTGGCGATCAAAATTTTAAAGCTATAAAATTGAAAATTAATGATGAAATATTTAAAAAGTGCACAATAAATGAGTTAAAAGAAATGGGACGCAGGCATCTAAAAAATTTAACCATTATATTATACAAGGATCCTCAAGTAATTACAAATAATGAAGAAAAATCAAGACTAATACATAAACTACATGATGACCCGGCCACAGGAGGTCACTGCGGCCAGAAGAAACTTCTGAAAAAATTAAGAGCATGTTATCGATGGAAATGCATGTCCAAAGACGTAGCCAATTATGTGAGAAAATGTCTAAAATGTCAAATGAATAAAAGGAAGTCTACTCATATGGAATCTATGGTTATAACGCCCACTCCTCAAAGACCTCTCGATATAGTATGCATTGATACTATTGGACCATTTGCAAAGACTGAGAGAGGCAATAGTTACGCCGTCACAATACAGTGCGAATTAACAAAGTTTGTTGTGATAGTTCCAGTCCCAAATAAAGAAACAAATACAATAGCAAAGGCCATAATGAACGAATTTATACTAACATATGGACCAATGCAAGAAATCAGAACTGACATGGGCACTGAGTACAAAAATGAGGTTTTAGCACAACTCTTCAAACTTCTCAATGTATCGCACAAGTTCTCAACAGCGTATCACAGCCAGAGCATTGGAGGATGCGAAAGGAACCATAGAGTTTTTAATGAATACATTAGAATGTACATTAACGACTCAAGGAGCGATTGGGATGAATGGATTCCATATTACAGCTTCTGTTACAATACTACTCCTAGTATATACCATAATTATACACCTTTTGAGTTGATCTTTGCGCGAAAAGCGGAACTACCTGAAATGCTTTTAGGAACTAAGGTAGACCCTGTATACAATATCGATGCTTTTTATCAAGAAGTTCGTTATCGCTTGCAAGTATCGCACAAGCGGGCAAACGATTTTCTTTCAAAAGCTAAAGAAAATCGAAAGCGCGAATATGATAAACAATCGAAGCAAATGCATCTCAAAGCCGGTGATCTAGTTATTTTGAATAACGAGAACCGAACAAAATTTGATTCTTGGTATAAAGGTCCCTTTACTGTTGTAAGTAATAATGGAGTTAATTGTACACTTAGAGATTTAAGCGGGAAAGAGGTGACAGTGCATAAAAACAGAGTGCGACCGTTTCACAGAAATTTATAATTATTATTACGTGTTTCGAAACAAAACAATTTTATAAAATTCTAACTCGCGAGTGTACTTTGCGATTATTTCGTATCAATTCCTACTCAATTTTTTTTTTGTTCATATGAGAATGTTCTTTATTTTGTGGCCAAGAATAAAGTCCATTCTTTCAAAAAGGGGGAGATGTGATGCGATATGATCAGATCACCCAGTATATTATATGTTTGATTAACAGTTAGTTAGTTCAACATTAATTGTATAAACTTACGTGATATTATTTGGTTATGCACATTGTTTATAATAACATAGTTGGTCATCGAGACACAATTATAATCTAGGGCAAGCAGACTAATAAAGATCATCATAAAAGTATCATCTTGTTTAACTTTCCTCCTCGCTTAGGACCTGGCATTCTTAGATGACAATCCTGTCATTACAGATGCTATCATTAAATGTACTTAAAATCTTACGGTTTCCGAGATCCCAATGATGAGGCTCGAATTTGGGCCACCCTGTACTTACAAAATTGTACATTTACTATAACAATATAATCATTCTTGTTATCTTAGGCCTAGGGGCCTGAAAATTCAATAAAACGATTACGAAAAGTTGGTTGGTTTTATTTTCCACTTTCCTTTCTTTTTTCTTATTAATCTGAGTTTGATGTTCGTTTATAGTGAAAACGGCCTTACGCAGATTTGCACCCAATTAAGAAAGTCTGGCTCGCCTTTTGTGCACTGTGAAATGTTTTTTGTTTTATCAGAAAACTTTTTTAATTGAAATAAAGGCATAAAAATTTAAATTCCAATCCATATTCATAGTTGTTTAACTTGTCGTGTGTAAACGGAACCATCTAACAGTTATCCTAATTTATGGTTCCCTACCCTACTATTGACATCAGATAGAAAAAAAAAAATAAGTTCAACAAACTGCAAAAATAATAGCCTATGGTCGAAACCAGGTTACGCAAAAGTAATAGTACCCAATTAAGTATAGTGATAGTACCGTGCGCAATGACGCAACTACGTCCTGTGTTACTCATTAATTTGATTATTTAACCATTGTTGTATTGGTAAATTATTATTAAATCTATAACGGGTAAATCGAAGCAAATTTTGATGTAGCTACAGCTCCTGATGTTTGAACAAAACAGTCTATCAAAATATTCCTTCAAATTCAAACTCATAATAATTTTATTGTGGTAGTAAAAAAAAAGATCAATTCATGATGATTTTTGATGTGATAAGGTCGTTTCCAATTTTTATGGGTGAATTTTTATTGACAAAACTAAAACTTCACCCCTGAATTCTTTACTTTGAAGCGAGAGTTATTCACATGAGGCAAGAGATTTTTCAATACTAATTTGGCTTGGCTTTTTGCTTATACACCCAGTATTTTATTTTTTATTATAATTGGTATTTTGTCGCTTACCGCCATTATTGATACCTCATTTCGCCGCGCCTTTGATATAATACGATATTTATCTATTTCAGTAGCCCGCATATTAGTTTCCATAGCCGTAGTAAGGCCTTAGGAATAGAGATGGAATAAAAAAAACTAAACTGACTGATTGATAGGGATTTTGATCTTCTGACTTTTAACCTATTTTTGCATTTGAAGTAAAATATGTTCTGCCTATAATTACCAAGAACTCAGTGGTAGTGAAATTTTCTGGACCACATCAGCAATCAAAACATTTACTGCAAATGAATCACAATATCTTATGAGAGGGTAGGAAAAACATAAAGAATTATGTGTAACTTATTGGACAGTTAACAACGTGTTTCAAGGATGTTTCTAGAATACCTACTCAATTTGTTATTGATTTGGATTGTAATAAATAATTTGATCTAGGAAAGTTTTTTTTTACGTTGAAACTTCTTTGTTGTAATATAGGCGTCATTTCCGCGGAAGAAAATTCTCACCCAAGTTAAAATTAGAATCTGAAAAAATTGTTGAAACTCACTAGAAGCCGAGCCTTACAATAAAAAATTAGGAATCTAAAACTATAAATTTATCAGTGTACGCCAATGGATTAATATAACGTTTGATCGTCCAACCATGCTACTTTTTAAATCGTTTCGCAAAATTTATTAGCTCACACAGGCAGTACCAAAAGTGAATATTGTTCAGTCAGTCGAAAATTTATTGGTTCAATTTCACTGAAAATAAGTTGCAATACTGTTAATTTATTCTATTAAAAACTCTTGAAAATTGATTTTCATCGGCTCATGTTTCCCATGACTCAACACATCACAAATAATTTTAAATATTCCCAGTGCAGTTTTCGGACGTTTAAAATTTAATTGCAATATTTTATTACAATTTCGCGGAGCTACTATATACATGTCTAAAAATAGTTAGATAAAGATACTTGAATAGAACTTTTACTACACAGCTTTTTTTAAATTTAATATAGTATGGGGTAAGTGCATTTATTTGATGATTCTTGGTGATAATTGCCGATGCATCTAAGCTGCAATTTTTATTTCACCCTCTTTCCAGTTCTCAACTTCTTCCCCAAGAAACCACCATACCATCGGACCAATGGCTGATAGGTGGTGCCTTAGGATCGAGAACCGCAACTTTGGTGTTCAAAAGCTCGGCCTTAGCTAATCCGACTATAATGGATATTCAAGATAAGCCTGGCCACAAACTGCATGTAACTTACAAGGTAATCGAGTGCATGTTCTTTTGAATAAATTATTCATTATTTCATTTATACCTAGGTACTTCAAGCCGAAACAAAACTTCTATCAAAACTCCTGGATTGTCACGGTGTCACTGAAGTTGCACCAAACTCGTCAGATTTTAATTTATTATGGACTGGTTCTCACCCTAAACCAGGTACTCTGAGGTCTCTAGCTCCTCACCAACGCGTCAACCATTTTCCCCGTTCCTACGAGTTGACAAGAAAAGATCGTCTTTACAAAAACATCGAACGAATGCAACACCTAAAGGGCCTTAAACATTTCGATTTTATACCACAAACTTTTGTAATTCCCACGGAACATAAGGAATTGTGCTCTACGCATTATAGAGTCAAAGGTCCTTGGATTGTTAAGCCTGTGGCTTCAAGTAGAGGAAGAGGTAACTTTAAATTAACAAAAAAATTAGTTCACAACTTTTTTTGTTATTTAAGGTATCTTTATTGTTCAGACTCCCACTCAAGTACCTATGGAAGAAACAGTGGTTGTGGCCAAATATATTTCTAATCCGTTTTTGGTATTGGGACACAAATGTGATTTGAGGCTCTACGTCGTAGTTACTAGTTTTGATCCATTAATTATTTATATTTATGAAGAAGGTAAATAGCAGATTACACACTTACAGGATTTTTAGCGCAAACATATATTTCAGGTTTAGTAAGATTTGCAACTGTTAAATACGATTCTAGTCATAAACAGCTGTGGAACCCCTGTATGCACCTGTGTAATTATAGTATTAACAAATACCATATTGATTATGTTAAGTAAGTAAAATTACTTGTATTTCTATTTCTAAACAAACATCAGTTTAAATTGTGAATCATTATCTGCAAAAATCTGAACAAGCAGTAATCGGATTTGCATTTGAAGTTTTTAAGAGTTCTTGAAAATCTTGCGGATTCTGATTAGTTCGTGTTTTTTATAGGTCTGACGATCCCAGTGCCGAAAACGTCGGTCACAAGTGGACGTTGAGCGCTCTCTTGAGACACCTAAAATCCGAAGGTAAAGACACTGCCCGCCTTATGTCACAAATCGAAGACGTTGTGATTAAAGCCGTTTTAGCTTGTGGCAATTCAATCCTTACTGCTTCTAGGATGTTTGTGCCTCACGCGAATAATTGTTTTGGTTAGTATATTAATTGACAGCTCTTATATTATCTAGAACAATCAATTTTTTTAGAGCTCTTTGGTTTTGATATTCTACTGGATGCCAACCTCAAACCATGGCTATTGGAAGTCAACTTATCGCCCTCATTAAACTGTGATAGTCCCTTAGATGTTCGCCTAAAATCGGCCATGTTATCAGATCTATTGACACTAGTGGGAATCCCTGCTGTCGATCCCATTTTACGGCCTACTAGCACAGGGAACTTGAGCAGAGGCAACTTAAATTTGAAAATGAAACTTTGTAATTGTCGCAGGGTACATTCAGCTGATGGTCTCAGTAACACTTTGCCAAAAAATAAGCCTTCCATAACAACTCAAAGAATTTCTTCAGCCTCTTTGCAGCCAACTGCCGAGGAAACTCGAGTAATTAGAAACGCGCAGGCACAATTCGAAAGACGGGGAGGTTTTGTCAGGATCTTTCCTGCTGCAGACAGCTGGGCCAAGTATTCTCAATATTTAGAACCCTCAACTGGCATTCCTATTTCTGGCATAGTGTCGTCAAACTACAACGTCACCGCTTCCCACAATTATAATTTGTTGTTGCAGATGCATCTGTTTCCCGAAACTCAGGTGCATAGTAATAAACTGAATGACAAGCCTCAATCTAGGGGCAAATATAGTATTTCGCTGGATCGGAAGAAGAGCTCACAGGCGGAAACTAGACAAATAAGTAAGAATTTTAGTGTGTTGGAAAAAGTACTTCATGAAAAAATATAAATTATCGGTTTTCATTCTTGCTGGATCAGCAAGAATCAATTAAATGACAATGGAGTCTAGCACTGTACTTACCTACCTTTTTTGTTTAGCACCACCTCGAATGAGTGGACGTCAAGACAGATACGAGAGGGCACTGAGTAGGGGTCACAAACAAGCTCTAATGCCTGCCTGTAAAGTGACCAAAGAATCCCAAATTGTAGACTTGCGCAAAAAAATCGTTGACTTACTCAAGTGTGGCAAAAGGATTACGTACGTCTCTATAATCTGATATGAAGTGTGGTATTTTAAGTTTTAGCGATATGTTTTAGGCAATTCGAAGCTCGGAAAACATTCAGTCAATATTTGGTGTGCATTTTGAAAAAAATTGTAACACCTCCTGATCAGGACCAGCACGTCGAGATTGTTCTGAAGTTTCTACAAAAAGCATCGAATTATTTGAGAACACCTTATTGCGTTAAAGTAACTGCCTTGTTCTATAATTTATTAATTTTGTTTATTAAACTTGATTGTTTCAGACACCTAGTAGCGAATTAGAAAACAAAGATCGAGCAGCCATTGTTGCCAAACAGTTAAATGATTTTTTGTACCTTTACAATAGGGAAACGGAAATGTTCGTGGATAGTTCGGAGAAACCCAGCCAAATTCCTAAGGATTTGTATGATGAATTTTTGATGAAGGCTAGGTAAGAATGGTTCTCTTTTTTTTTGCTTGCCTCGTTCAAAGGATTTGGGATTTTTTATAAATCTCATACTATACTGTATACAGGGTGTTTGTTTTCCATGCGCAACCATTGGGATATAGGAAAGTGTAAGAGATACAGGTTCATTCACTTTCGAGCAAAGTTGCGCATTTTCTTGCTTAGCAAAACGCCACTCCGAAATTTGGAATATTCCGAATAGGTACTTCCGAAGATATAGGGAAAAAAAACAAAATTTTGCAATTTCGTTTTTATTTTTTCCTGGGCTCATTTGGAAAGACCGACCATCTATAAAAAAAAAATACTTATCTCTTTCCAATCCACTATTTTCAATATATCCGGAAGTATTCAGAATATTCCAAATTTCAAAGTGGCGTTTTCTTGAGCAAGAAATCGCACAACTTTGTCCCAATTTAACTGAACCTGTTACCGTTTCCTATATCCCAATTGTTGCCCTCGAAAAGCGGACACCCTGTATAGCTTCCTAGCCGATACGGCAGCTTTTTTCACTAAAAAATGAGAAATGTTTTCGAAATAATGAGAAATGTTTTTGAAATAATGAGAAATGTTTTTGAAATAATGAGAAATGTTTTTGAAATAATGAGAAATTTAGCATTTTCATGTATTATTAGTTGAAATAATGTATAGTATTTTTAGTACCCATTTAGAATAACACCATCCCTACTTATTAATCACGAATCAGATGAAACAAAAAATTACCAACAAAAACGAATGTCGATTGCTAATACGTCAAATTCATGTACAAATAGGAAATTCCTAACCTAATTTTATTTGTCTGTTCAAGAAGCGACATACGTTTAGTCACTAGAACGACTGGTACTTCTAAATAGGTATTAAAAATTCTATATATATTCATATCGGGTCTTCAACAAAAAAACCAATCAAAGATTGCTTTGGTTACGAAAACGTACGTCGCATTATTGTTTATTTATTGGTCAGGATTTTTGACATGACATTTTGACATTAAATTTCATTGACTGACATTGTCAAAACTAAAGAAAAATATTGCTAAGACCTACGTTCAAAAAACCATAACAATCTTTGATTGGTTTTTTTTTTGAAGACCCGATATGTCGGTTTAGAACGTCTTCTCTGATGACAGTTCTCTTTCACTCATGGACTTTTGTATGGTCGTCTGCCATTCCAGTTTTGGACTTCCTCCTTTTCTTGGACCTGTTGGTTGCCAATGCAGCATTTTTTTGGGCCACCTGGTATTTCGCATTCGTTCTACGATGTCTTTGGTTCTACGTGTCCGTACTAGTCAAATTGTTTCCTTTCAATGCTCTGAACTATCGTGCCTTCTATTTCTATTCCCATTTGTTGTTTTATATAGTCATTCCTTATTCCTTCTTCGTGAGATTCGCATGGATCTTCTGATTGCATCCATTTTAACTACTTCTACTTCTTTTGTCTCTATAATTCTCAGAGTTTCGGCTCCATATAGAAGGCTGCTCTTTATCATTGTCTTGTGTATATTGAATTTTCTCTTCTTTGTTATTTCCTTGCTCGATAATATTCAATTTCAGCATCCTATTACTTTTTTAGCTTTAGCTATTCGCTTTTCTATTTTTTTCACAATTGTTTCGGTGCCGAATGTGATACTTCTCGATGCCTACTACACATAGATATTTTGTTTTATTTATATCAACTGTCAAGTCCCGTTCTTGGTACTCTTCTATCAGTTCCTCTTCCAATTTCTTAGTGCTTCTGCTCTACATATATTTTGAGGACAGACAGGACATCTCTGACGTAGTCCTCTATCCACTATAAATGTGTCAGTGAGTTTATATAGTTCTTTAAGGGAGTGATTAATGTTGGATTGTTTTATTACCATCATATTTTGGATACTAAGACTGTATCATATGCTATTTGTAGGTCCACAAATATGAGGTGAGTTACCAAATGTCTTGCAGGCCAAGTTTTTGGAATTTGGTATAGTCTTAGGTATGGTCTTAAGGTTTTAGGAAACCATCGCAAGCAACTTGTGCGCGACCTCTTGTAGCCTGTTTGCTATAAAACTAATATGGCCGCCACCTATATAAGAACAATGTGATAATATTCAGTGTGTCGCACTTTTCATGAATACACCCCGATATCTCAGTTATTAATAATGCGATTTTATTCAAATTTTGGTGGTGATCGCATGTTAGAAAAATGAACTATTTGACATAGTAAACATTTTTAATTACCATTGGCGTGCGGTGTTGGGGGGAGGAAAAAAGGGGTTGTATTTTTGGGAAAAAAATTTTAGACCTTATTTTAGATAATTTTTTGTATCAGATTAAAATTCAGCATCAGCATTCTCAATACCCCCTTAATTCATATGTATTTTCAAAATCTGAAGAGCTGATTTCACCCCAAAAACACAACCCCTTTTTACCCCCCAACACCGCACGCCAATAGTAAATGAAAATGTTTACTATGTCAAATAATTCATTTTTCTAACATACAATCACCACCAAAATACGAATAAAATCGCATCATTAATAACTGAGATATCGGGGTGTATTCATAAAAAGCGGGACACACTGTAAGTATAATACCTAATAAATAATAATCAAGTATTATAACACCATAATACAAGTAGGTATAGTAAAGCCTCTGTATCGTCTCGTTTTTTGATATTCGATGGCATGAAAGACACGTAATGTATCTTTTCTGTTTTATATGTCAAAATTCCCTATATCATGAAACCAATGCAAGACAGGAACATATTTCAATTTGGTATATATTTTAACATACACATTGTGAAAATTGAATTCGGAAAACCTTAACGAGTCTGATTTCCTTATGTCAACATGAATATTAGTTTCGAAAATGCTTCTGTAAATAAGAGAAAAACGTCAAACTAGACTTTGTGTTGCTTGTGCCAGCAAGATATCCGAAAAGACGTACGCACGCATGTCCATATAAAAAATAGTTCCACCACCAGACATAGGAAGTATTAGAAGCAGATCTGAAAAACTTTATTGATAATGCGCTGCTTATGTCTCTTAACGTAAAGGTAGAGTGTTTAGATGATGGTTCTGGGATTGCCAACACAATGAAAACAAATAAGGCAACATACAATCAACATACCATAATGGATGCCGGGCGCTTTTTCGCTCTGCTGCTTCAACGACAACTTAAGAAAAGAGAAATGGATTCGGCTAATGTAGAAGCTACAGTGAGTCCCAAAAAAACGCGTTTGAGTTATAACGCAACCCGCGATCGTGAAAATTACCAGTGTGTCTACTGTGAGAAGTACGAAGGGGAAGGTGATGAAGATATATATCGTGTAAGTAGTGCTAAGTGCTGCAAAAATATGTTCCAATGGGCGCTGCAATCTAAGAATTGGGTAATGCATGTACGGCTGAATACTGCAAGTAATGCTGAAGATGCCCAGGCTTCGAATATCCATTATCACGCATGGTGCATTGGTATAGCAAGCTTTAAACTGAAGCCCGTGCTGCCACGAAGTCATCTCCTCAGAAGGTATCATAAATGAAAAAATGGTATCAAAACCGTCTCGGAACTGAAAAATCTGTTTGGTTAGGTGCACAAGTTCACTCTACGAGGTTCAAGGAACACCTGTTAAAGAAACTAGGTCTGGGCCGGTATTCTGGTTCTCAAAAACGCTCACCGCTTTCTAGTCGCTCGGCACTTTAAATGTAAATTTACATTGAAAGTGCCGAGCGACTGAAAAGCGGTGACCGTTTTCGAGAACGAGAATACCGGCCCTGATCCTAGTTTCTTCACTGGTACTCGTTTGATAATGGCAAAGAGGTTTATATTTCCCATAAGAAAACAATTGGGTCAGCTTTGGCAGAAACTGCTCGCACACAAGTTACAGAAGATGAAGTTGATAACAAAACTAATGCCTTTCAATGGTTCATTTAGCTGAGGTTGTCTAAGTGAACTTGTCGCAAAGCCCCTGATAAATGCCATGCTCCAAGGGTCAAGCACCATAGCAGAAACTATTGCAGATGATGACCAGGCAAACATTAGTGCCAGAATAAAAGTGGCGTGCACCATTTCTGAGCTGATTTGTAACAACTCAACGAACCAATCCAGTCAGGCGATCACTCTGTATCGACAAAAGGAAAGAGAAACACCCTTTCCTCTCTACTTGGGAATGAAGTTTCATTCCAATGACAGACAGAAACCAAATATTCGAACATTACATGCTCTGGGAATTTCGGTTGGAAGCAGCTTGCACAAGCTGTCTGTAAATGGTGGCAAGAGAATGGAGTTATTGTGCCCACAAACATCAAGACAACTTTGATGAGTCGGGTCGTTATGAACTTCATGGAACTGCCATGTCGCTAACCAGTCATCACACCTATAATAACATTGGGGAGGATCCTCCACCACTCATCCTGGACGTTTCTGAATCTTTCCCTGTTGAGCTGCCTGACAGCTACACTATTGCACCTTTTGTTGATGAATATGCTGGAAACGTCTTTATTTCGAGTCTTAATAATGAATCAACCTTCTCAGGTATTGAGAAGAATGTTGGATTATGGATGGCAGAATGACATTGGTTACAGCATGTAAACAGAGTTGTGGAAGAAAATGATGGACAGTTGCAAGAGACTCCAGTGACATATTCCAGTTTTTTCTCTCATGGTCAAAATTTAAAAGATGTTAGACCAAGATCAGCTGTTAGTTTGTTCCCTTTATTATACGAGAAGTCGGCTACGATGGCCATGCAGAAACATTCTATGCATATTGTTATGAAGGCAAAAGAATTCGTGAATCCCGGCCAACTGCCACTGACTGCCCTCTGTACGCCCTGCAGAAAAAGTGTCAGTGGGTTTATCCAGATAAGGTTGGTGAATCCAAGTTGGTATACTTTATGGGTTTGCTACATGTTGAAATGACTTCGCAAGAATGCGTCAGAAAGATGTTAGCTGGATCAGGATGGTATCGAATGTTTTCCATAGCAAAAGTATTCACCTCTGGAATCGCCATCTCTTCTTGGT